GGGGGGGGCGGGTGGCTCTGCTGTCCAGAGAAGGGGACCCTGCAGGTGCCACGACAAAACCCACACACCGAATCATTAAAACCTTTTCTTTTTTTTTTTTGCCCCTTTTGAGGTCAAGAACTGTTAATTTTATGCATCTAGGCCATTGTCTCCCAGTTCCCCTGCTTCAGGCTTCTGTGAAATTGAGCCCTTGATTTGGTTATAGCTCTGGAAATGATTAGACTACTTTACTAAATTTAACGCAAGTGGTGAACTTAAGTGGTGAACCATTAAATCGGTTAACAAAGGCATGAAGCATGATGTACATAATCCAATTAAAAACACTCTACATACGAGATATTCCTTGCCAGCCTTTCTCGTAAAAAAAAAAAATATTGTAACCTCCTTCATATCTTCACCATATTTGTCTGGCACATGCTGAAGGGGACTCCAGAAGGAAAACATCTTCCCTGGCTGTGCAGCCCCCACCACCTCCTCTCGCCTGGCCCGGACCTGGGTGTCACTGATGTCACCTGGGGGTGGGTTTGTGGTGCCTTTGCCACCTCTTGCTGCAGGCATCGTGTCCTGGGCTTTGCAGGGAAACCAGCCCAGTTTGGGGTCCCACCGGCAGATGGGAAGCCCCCAGTGCAGCCCCCTGAGGGGGGGTTCTGAGCTGCCCCGTGTCCTCGCACGTACCCCTCCGTGGACACGGTTTTGTGGGGCAGGACCCCGATCCTGCTTGGAGGTGAGGGATGTTTTTGTGGGATGCGGGTGCAGGAGCATCCATGGTGCTCCCGTCCTCCTCTGAGGTGAGGGTGCAGGAGCAGGGGGGTGTTTTTTGGGTGGTGAAGGTCCCGCAGCCTGCCCTTCCCTAGCTTGTTTGCAACAAGCTTACATGGGATGGTTTTGTTTTGGTTTTTTTTTTTTTTAAAAAAAACCCAACTTTTTTCAGGGAAGGGGCAGGGGAGGGAAGGTGGGCTTTTCAGCAGAGAAGATGCCAAGAGAGCAACGTGGAGTCTCCAGGTGGGTTTTATCCCCCTCTGTGGAGTCTCTAACCCGTGATTCCTGAGCACTGGACCAGGAGGGATGTTGCATCGACTGTTCCTGGGCTGCCCTGCAGAAGCAGTTGGGAAGGATGGCAAGAGGTGGCCACGGAGCTACGGGCAGAGCCTGGGCATCCTCCAGCACCCACGTGGGCACCTTGGGTTCCAGCAGGAATGTACCTGGGCTCCTTGGATCATCATCTTCTTGCCACAGGAGTGACCTGGCCGGGGCATGGCTCCTTCCAGCGGTGTGGGGATGGGGGTCTGCAGCCCCCAGGTGTGATCTCCGCTGCCCCATGGAGCTGTGGGCCCAGCACCGACCATGGATGGAGGAATAAGACTTGGAGCCAGAGCTGCCGCTGGAGGAGGCTTTCCAAATGGATTCTGCTCACTGGTTCCTGCCTTCCAGAGGGGAGAAAAAACACCTTTAAACTGGGATATTGTCCTGATGTTTATTTTGACCCCCCTGCGCTGGAGTGGGGGCTGCTGCGGGGGGTTCAGAGCCCACGGGGCCAGTCCTGCTCAGCTCACCGAGCCCTTGGATGGATGTATTTGCTGGCAGCTTAAAAAAAAGGAAGAAACCAGTTGTTTTCTGCGTTGGTGGAGGGTGAGGCTGGAGGTGGTGGTTCTTCCTGCCCTCCCCGCTCTGCCCCAGCTGGGTCCTGCTGCAGATGCTTGTGGTGGAGCTACGTGGTCTCCTGGGGCCGTGCCAAGGCTGGGACCCTCATCGCCAGGGCTGGAGTGTTGCTGCATGGACCTGGGGTACCCACGAGGCCGTGGCCCCCCTTCTCTGGGGCTGCTGCTGCTGCAGGGAATGTCACCCTGGTGTGGGATGCTCCAGGAGGAGCCTTATTTGGTGCCCACCGTGAAAGTTGGGGATTGCTGAGGATAAAGTGTTGGATCTCTGCTTCCCAGCCGTGATGGGAACTACTGGAAAACTTGCAGGAAGGGGAGTGTATCGTGCTGGAAAGCCCATGGGGGGCTGCCTGTTCTCCAGGGTGATGCTCTGCTGTCACGGCCAGTCCTGCTTCTCACCCAAATGGCTGGAAATCACATGAGACTGGGACTGGAAAGAGCTCATTGATTGCAGGGAGAGCCCAGGCTCTGGTCCTCTTGCTCCGGTGTCGGAGGGATTGATCTCACTCCGGGTGCGTGACGAGGTGGCAGGGACTGCTCTGTGCTGGCAAAGGGACACGCCAGCACCATCCAGCACAGCCACTGTGGCTGGGGACCCCCACTGTGGCTGGGGACCCCCACCATGAGCCCTGCTGCTCCCCTCGCCCTGCCAACAAGCTCTCCTTGCACTGGTTTGAGGACCCCCCTCCCCAACCGGGGTCCTGAGGATGCTCCCCCTGCTCTGCCCTGTGGATGGAGCAGCCCCGGCAGAAGCCGAAAGCTCCTGCTTTTTGAGGACTTGGTGATTTATGCTTTTCCTATAAGAGTGCTGCAGAGGCCTAATTGCCTTCTCGATTTGGCTTCTGCCACAGCTGAGACCTCGGCGCTGCCCAGAAGAAGCTGCTTTTTAAGATAATGCATCTCCTCCGCCTGGAACTGCTGCTGCTGCTGCCTTTCAGATCTGACCCCCCCAGCCCCTGGCTTGTCTTCTGCCAGGGGGGTTTCCCTCTCGCCCTTGCAAAAAGGTTTAGAAACTGGTGCCTGGCAGGTGTGGGTCGCCCACCCGCTTCCCTGTGACCAGAGTCTTCTCGGTACCGTGGTGCTCGTTGTCATGTGACAAGTCATCCCCCCCTTCCTGCTGCCCCCCAAAATAGGTCCTTCAGTGGGGAGGTGGGTGGAAGCTGTGCTGCACCTGGAGACGTGGCTACAGTTTGGGGGATTTTCCCATAAAGCTGCACCCCAGCTCCTGGGGGGGCTAACGGGGTGTTTGTGGGGTGCACCTGGGGGGTGCATGGTGCCCCCAGCCTTGCTGGGGGTCTGGATGGGCAGCCTTGCAACAGGACCCTTTGCTGCACTGTGGGTGGGGGGGCTTCAGGCTGGGGGGCACCAGCCTTGCTCCAGGGCAGGAGGAAAACTGAAGTGCCCCCTCCCTGCAGGAGGGGGTCGAGCTGTGAACACACACCTTGGGTTAAACCCGCTCTCAGATCTTTCCCTGTGTGTTCTGTGGGCTGTGCTGGGGTCGTGTCCCCCCCAGACCCTGTTGGGGACACCTGGGTGCCTCCCCTTGCAGCTCCGGGGACAATGTGCTGGCCTCAAGTTGCACCAGGGGAGGTTTAGGATGAATATTGGGAAGAATTCCTTCCTGGGAAGGGTTGTGAAGCCTTGGCAGAGGCTGCCCAGGGCAGTGGTGGAGTCCCCATCCCTGGAGGTATCTAAAAGCCGGGCAGATGTGGTGCTGAGGGCCATGGGTCAGGGATGGGTTTGGCAGTGCTGGGTTGGTGGTTGGACTCCATGACCTGAAAGGTGTCTTCCAGCCTGGACAATTCTATGGTTCTATTTCCTTGATGGAAATGTTGGAAATGTAGGGTCCCACAGACCCAGGAGATATTTTTGGGGTGTCCCTGCTGAGCTGTGGTGGCATGGCAGCCCCCCCTCGCTCCCTGGCTGGGTCTGAGCCCTACTGAACCCTGTGGGAAGGGTCTTCTGCTCTCCCTCCATGCAGGGGGGTGGGATGGAGGTGCACCCACTCGTTGTGCTGTGGGACCCTCCCTGTGAGAAAGCTGCCTGCTCTGGGGACCCCTTCTGCCATGCTTGGTGGCACCGGGGAGGGAGAAAACCTGACCTGAGCTGGGGGAGGCACAGGGGGCTCTGCTGCAGCTCGAGTGTGTGTCCCCCCCCCAGCCTGAGGGTCCTGCTGGAAGTCAGTTGCCCCAAATGCAGCTTTCACTGGTGGCTAACTGGGTGCTGCTCGGGGTGGCCGTGGGTGCAGGCAGGAGGGTGGGAATCACGGGTGCCAGCTCTGAGACCCTCCTGGCCGGGTGGCTGGTGTCCCCGGGGTGGAGGAGCCACAGGAGCAGTGACCTGGGGCTCTTTGGAAGTGCCACCACCAAGGGCAGGTCCTTGACTGGTGGCCAGCAACTGGGATTTCAGCTTGTTTTCGAGTTTGTAGTTGAAGTAGAAGCACGGGGAGGGTTGTGTTTGGGTTTTCTTCCTTCCTCCGATGCCCAGCCCCGGGCTGAGGCTGCCCCCACGGCTCGGCCATCCCTGTCCCCATCCAGCTGCTGTGGGAGGGGGACAGGAGTGACAGGATGGGGCATGGCCACCCTGTGGGCAGTTTTCCTCTCACCCTCCGGCGCCTTAAAGTTGATCCTGAGCAAAGAAAGCAAAACTCTTCCTTTCTGAGGTGTCCTGTGAGGGTCCTGGATGTTTGAGTTTCCTTCCCCCGCTGTGGTTCAGCAGCTGGTGCTCCCTCCAGCCAGAGCTGCTTGCGGGGTCCGAGGTGCTATTTCTTTCTTTCTTTCTTTTCTTTTCTGCTTAATATCCAAGGAAAGGATGCCCAGGGAAGTTGTGGCTGCCCCATCCCTGGAGGGGTTCAAGGCCAGGCTGGATGTGACCTTGAGCAACCTGCTGTGGTGGGAGGTGTCCCTGCCCAGGGCAGGGGGTTGGAAATGATGATCTTTGAGGTCCCTTCCAACCCAAACCATTCTATGACTCTATGAAAAGCGAAACCGTCCAAATCTGCAGCGATGATGGGAATTACCTGGAATTGAGGGTGGCTCTTGCATTCTGGGGGGGGTGTGTGTGCCACGCAGGCACTCATGCCACCCGGCCGTGTTGTGGGGGACTGTCCCCAGAGGCCATGCACGGGCCCCTCCGTCCCTCCTGCTAACGGGGCTTCTCCTTCCAGGCAGCCGAGCGGGGCAGCGTCTCCTCGCCGGGCATCCCCCTTCCCGGGGCTGCTCGATGCCTCCACGACCCCCCCTCCCCACCCAACCCCACTTCACTGGTCCCAGTGCCCCCTCCCCACCTCACTGGTGGTCTCATTGCAGCAGCAGCAGCTCCAGGCCCAGCACCTCTCCCACGCCGCCCACGGGCCCCCGGTGCAGCTGCCCCCGCATCCCTCGGGTCTCCAGCCCCCGGGCCTCCCGCCCGTCACCGGCAGCAGCTCGGGGCTGCTGGCCCTCGGTGCCCTGGGGAGCCAGGCTCACCTCGCCGTCAAGGACGAGAAAAACCATCACGACCTGGACCATAGAGGTGAGAACGAGGGCTCGGGTGGGTGTGGGTCCCCTCGGGGGGGCTGCTCATCACCTCGTCCTTTGGTGCTGGAAGTACCTTGGTCCAGGCACAGCTCTGCTCCCACTGCCTCCTCCCTCAGGGGGTGGGATGCAGGGGGTGGGAAGCTGCTTTTAGGGGTGCAGCTTCCCCTAAATGA